TGCGCAGGTACGTCCCCACCGCCACCACCAGTGTCACCAGCAGGATGGAGAGCTTGGCCTGCAGGAGGGCAAAGGGGGGGTCAGCGTGGAGCTGCGCCCCCCCCAACCTGCCAGGTCCCACCACGGCATGGGTGGGATTCTGCCCGCCCCACCGCTTTCACCTTCATGGGCAACCCTGACCACAGGTAGACGGTGAAGATGGCCAGGGCTTGCCACCAGTGGTAGATGGTGAAGATGAAGTCTTGGCGCTCCTTGTTCTTGTACAACATGCCCAGGAGGACTGTGACGGAGGAGAGCTGCTGTCAGTGTCCCCCTCCAGTGCTGGTGGCCCCCTCTGTGGGCCTGTCCTGCTCCTTGTCAGCACGTCCAAGGAGCTGGGGACCACCAGGTTGCGGTGCCAGAGGACATGAGGAAGCTGAGGGACAAGAGCGGCCGTGTTGGGGACCTTCCTGCTACTCACTGCTGATGCTGGTCTTGTTGAGGGCGCTCCCCATGCCCCAGAGCGCAGCGATGCTGTAGAGCAGAGGAGCCTGGACCACCAGCCGGGGCTCTGGTGCCCAGCAGAACAGTGTCACCAGGAGGGCAGCGTGGATGAAGGCTCCAGCCAGCAGTGGGATGTGCCGCTGCAGGCGCAGCATGCACAGGGCCAGGCTGGAGGAGGCTGAGGCGGACAACCCGTAGGCCATGAGGAGATAGGCCAACTTCTCCAGCCCCAGGGCACACACGCCATAGTTCTGCAGGGAGGATGGGCTCAGTGTCACTTGGTTGGGCTGTCCCTGCTCTGTCCCCTCCCCTCCGTCCCCATCCCTACCAGGGAGAAGCCGGTGCAGACAAAGAGCACCTCGAAGCCGCTGTAGATGAAGATGGGGAAGAGGTGGCGCAGGCGATAGTCCCTCATGTGCTTGAAGGGCAGCTGGAAGATGTTCCCCCACCCGATGCTGCGCAGGTCGATCTCCTCCGTGGGTCGATAGGCTGCACCACAGAGCACCAGGACCTGCGTGTGGGGAAGGTCATGGAGCAGATCATCCCAAGAGAGATGGTTTGGGTTCGGAAGGACCTTGGCGTCATCCAGTTCCAACCCCCCTGCCATGGATCACAAAGCATGTGCAGGAAAACAGAGGGATCAGCACCAGAAGGGCAGGTCCTGCTTGACCAACCTCATCTTCTACAACAATTGACCTGCCTGGTGGATGAGGGACATTGTCTCTTTGGACCTTAGTAAAGCATTGACACTGTCCCACAGTGTTCTGGAGAAACTGGCTGCTCGTTGCCTGGATGGTTGGATTCTTTGCTGGGTTGGAAACTGGCTGGATGGCTTAACCCAGAGAGTGGTGGTAGATGGTGTCACATCTAATTGGTGACTGGTCACTAGTGGTGGCCCTCAGGGCTTGGGGTGGGGGCCAGTGTTGTTTGAGATCTCCATTGATGATCTGGATGAAGGGAGCAAGGGCCACCTTGATCAGTCACTTTGCAGGTGACACCAGGTTGGG